TGCAGGTGAGAGGGAAAGTTCCTCATTAGCTTCCTTGGGTTCAGTAGAGGGTTAGCATCCCATTTTCAGTAAAAAAAAAAACATGGTGAGCTATGTAGGAAGTGAGGGCTGGAGTTAGTCTGATACCTACACACTCAGTCCTTTTTAAAATGTTGTTTAATGTCTTCAGTTCCTTCTTGTCTAATGCCTACTGTATATCTTATACTTCTCCGGCTTTTTATTTTTGGACTTCTCTGTCACCTGGGGAGCGTTGCAAAACAAGTCCCAGCCAGGACAACAGAGGGCGTAGCGCCATTCTGCGGTATCCTGCCACCACTATAGTCAAGTATACGGTCCACGAAGGTGTATTTACTAATGTGTTTGTATTGTTTTAACATATTTGAGAGACTTCTTTAACATGGACAAATTTGTCCCTGCTTCTCATCACGCATTTTCCCATTTCCATGAAGTAGATCCTGATGAATCTGTTCTGATGTGGAACGTGCTGCCTGTGATTTAGCTGGAGATGAGGATGAGCTAGAAGAGTAAATGTCTATCCGTGTACTAGATCTCCTTCTCTGACAGTTGGCCTCGTGAACCAGCTGTGCCTGGAAGTTACCTTTTTTATTTTCCTGTAGAGTTCAAGCAAGATTATTGTTTTTGTACAGATTTTGGTCAAAGGATCCAGATGAGACAGGTGCAATATAAATTAGGGATGTAAAGGAACACAGTGTTGTAATTGTACTTGTTGACTTAGTTGTAAATTATTAACCTTTTCATGTGGAAAGCCACAACTTGTTTCCATCAAAAGTTAAATAAAAAAAGATTTAACATTGAAAAAGAAATAAAAACAAAGTGAAAAAAGTTTCTTAAAATACACAATCGTTAGTGATTTTTTAATATTTTTATTAATAAAAATTTTATATTTTCATTTCTGCTTTATAAATATGCTCATTTCTCACATGTTTCAGGATTCTTGGACATTTTTTTGGGGGGGGAAACTTGTAATAATTCCTAGGCGAATTAAAAAGCCAAATTATGATCAATAAAATCACACAAAAATACTTTTTGAACGAAAGATGCATAGGAAAATCTTAATGACATATTTCTTGCTGCAGTACAGTTTCTCATTAGGAGTCCTCATGAATGCGTATCAAGACAGAGTCTAGGTTTAAGAAGCACTAACACAAAATCAGACGTAAGATGTTGCTTCACAACAAGAACTGGCGTCTGGACGCTTGCTCTGTTCCCTTGAGACTCAGCCGGAAATGCTAAACCTCTCAATGTCAGTGTCGGTCAGTAAGAGCAGCAATCTGCCAGAAAGAAGAAGACCATGGGAGCTGTGACGCACTGACCTCTCACAATTAAATGAGTAGTGATTGATAAGCTGGCATCTATAGCATAACATGGGTACAACCACACATGGAGACACCACTTTGTTCAGCCTTGGACAAACGGAGACAAGGAGGCAGAGGATAGAAGGGAGGGCTGTATGTGTGTGTGTGTGTGTGTGTGTTCAAATTTGTATGTTTCTAAGTAGTTTTGAATGCATCAATCCTTCTGTGCATGACACTGAAATAACTGATGAAAGACGCAAATGTACACTAAAATATGAATGTAGGCAAGTAATGAAATACTTTTCATTCTTTTTTCCTAATGCTGACACACAGATATACATTAGTGTTTCAACTTTACACACAAAAACCTGCCACAGAAGCTAACACTTAGCATTAGAAACTCCACCACACAGCATAACTCCTCCTGGCTTGTGAGATTTGTGGAGATAAAACATCCGCCACAACCTCTTAAGATGAAACATCTCGTTTTCGAGAGGGTCCTCCATCCATACAACATTAAAAAATACAAGATAGCAAGATAGCTGAAAAAGAATAGAAAAATAACTAGAATAAAAAAAATCATAAAATTACAACTAACTGAGAAAACAAACACACAAAAACAAACAAAAAATGACTAATGACCTTAGCCATCATCAAAGTTAGCCAGTGTTGGTGGCGTCACTTCCGTTTATCCACGGGCAGCAGAGGACGATGCCAGCCTCTGCTGCCTGCGTCCTCCTTGCTGATGACACAGTCCCATGCACGAACCAACGTGAATACTCCGTCTCTGTTCATGGTTTTGTGTCCACATCTCCTCATTATTATCGCTTCTTTGATTCATTTTTTGTATTTTTGTTGTTGTGTGTGTCATGATCCGTGCACTATCCCAGTCCATTATATGATTTTCTCTTATGCACTGGTCTGTTAAATTTTTTTAACAAATTGAGGGCAACATCATCCTCTGCTGACCCCCCCCCCCCCCCCCCCCCCGCCCCGCACCCACACACACACACACACACACACACCACACACACACACACACACACACACACACACACTTTGCTCTCATTACTCCTTTCTCCTGACTGAGAATTCTGCTTTTAATTTATCCCTACACCTTAGAACAAAATGTCTACCGGTAGAATGGCAGGTGATAACCTACTGAGTCTGCTAGAAGAGCCTTTGGCCTTATGATGTACATTTCAGTGCTGACATATTATAGTGGCAGAATAAACGGTTAATTGGTATGTAGTTTGGTGCATCAACAAAAGGGGAAGCTTATATTGTATAAACAGTTGCATTTGATGTCTTTCACTCTGTGTGCAATTGAAATGCATCAAAGTTCAGACTGATCTGCTACTGCTACTGCAGCGCACACAATTACATGCAACTTCAAAAACCACATGTGACTGTTCACGCATAAAACATGAAAAGGGATGTACTAATATTAGATGTGCACATCCAAAATGCTGACAGATGCATGCATGTGTTCCCTTGACATAACATGCAAAAGCTTAGTCATGCAACCCGCAGCCTGAGGCTATGTTAGTAGCTGCCATCAGCTCAAGTCATGCAGGGGAGAAAAAAAGGAGTCGAGACATGAACCGAGTGATAACCTGTCACTTTAACTTTTTCACAATTAAAGTCCCAAAGTTGTGCAAGATTAGTTGTTCTCTCAGCCTAATATATCTTATTTTAGTGTTTTAATATTCTAACCCTAAACCCCTCTTTAGCTTGAATATAAATCTCACATGTTCTATTTTGAAGTAAATCATAGTGTAACAAACTGTCTCTTTGCTCATCAAAAATGTAGACATAGTCCCCAATGAACCTTCTCTTAAGGATACAATATGTAAGAATGTTACCGTGAAAAACAGCCTAACGTCTCAATCATTTGGGAAGGAAGGTACATTGAAGCTGGTCAACTTCTCAGCAGGCTGGGGGGGGGGGGGGGGGGGGTCAGTTTACCTCCTTTCAAAAAAAGCTAGAGGGACTCAGTCTTTGTTTACATTCTGTGAGCTCACAGGGATGCTGAGTCTGCACCAGCTAACGCTGCAGCATTAGCATTTGTAATTCAACACTGGCTGACAAAAAACTCCAGCATTATGAACAGCTTGTTAAT